ACTCCTCAAATCTCATTAATGAGAAAGAATGCATAGGATTCAGAAGTTTGTACAATGCAAAACTTATACTAATTTGTGAAGAGTAATGAAAGTTGAGGTAGTCATGTTAGTCGAACCACTTGAAAAACTTTCTGTACTCTGTTGATGCTTGTACTTCTTATTGTGAGTGGTTGTTTGTGTGCTCAATAATCTCCTACCATTATTCACCATCTTGGATAATTTGCATTGTTTTTCTCCATTTCTCAATTTTCATCATTTGTCCACTTCAAAGGACGGTGTAACTGTAGAACACAACACACACACACACAAATTTGGTAACTTGAAGTATTTAATTTTAAGGTGTTATCGGTTTAGAACTACGATTTCGATTTTAACTTTATGGTGGTATTGGTTTAGAACTAGGATTTTTAGATTTTAAGTTTATGGTGTTATTGGTTGTTTAGGATTATGATCATGTCTAGGATTTCAAAATCCAAAATCCAATCCCACTCCATACACATTAGTGAAAAAATTCTAAGAAAAAGTTCATGTTAAAATTAGAGGATTGTGATCTTTCTCCTAAGATTATCTCTCCCCTGTTCATTTAGTAAGTCCACATTTAAAAAACCACTACTAATTTATAGTTACAAGAAATTTCTAGTTAATATTAAATATTAATATTTACTATTATATAGTTATTTAATAAAATATCAAACATATTTAGTTCTAACTATATTAATCTATACTATCTATAACAGAGGATTGGGGTGTTAAAACTTTTGATTGCCTCTTTTACTCTTATAAAATTTGATAATTCCCAATAATGCCTCAAACTTTACTCAGTTTAGGCTATTCATTACACTATAATATTCTTGCAATAAACATGAGAACTAGCATTAAAAATTAAATAGATATTATATGTTTTAATCATATTCATCTAAATGTATTCAATTCATTCTATTTATTATTCTATAATTATTATTGCAGTAAACATAAGAACTAATATATATTATAAATGTTAATCATATTAGTCTTATGTTAAATAAGATAAAATATTTTACTTTAGGTATTAGATATTATACAATAAATATACAGTTTTAATATATAAGATAATAATATCATAACTTATATTTATAAATTATATCATAATTTAAGATAATTTAGTATTTAATTAAAAATATAACATTTAATCTAATACTATGATATATTGATATGTGCATCTAGTGTATAAAAAATCCATGGAGAGGAATACTAATATCAATGTTAACCTCTCGGTGTAGTCTAGAAATAACATATAAATTATCATAATATATATCACTACGTATTGCAATTACTTATCATAGTATTTGGATACGAGATAATTCTAAGCATGCGAAATTCGAAGTGGTGTGGACAGCTATTATATTTGCTCTTGATACTGGATGTGGAAATTAATTTTTGAAGAAGATGTGTGAGGCAGTAATTAGAGATATCCATAATAGAGTGGAGCAACACTCGATTTTTGGACACTTTGTGGATGATATTCAACGATGTTGCACATATCATCAGATTGGTAGATATTTTGCTAAGTTGCATTCGGAACTGGAGTATTGCAACAAATGGTTGAAATTGATCTACTCAATGAAAAAATAACTTTCCAACATATAAAAATAAATTATAATAGCATATAAATGTTAACCTCTTGGTGTAGTCTAATATAAATTACAACTGGAATACTAATATAAATGTTAACATCTTGGTGTAGCCTAGAAATAGCATATTTTACTAAGAATTGTAATATACTTATCATAATATTTGGATACGAGATAATTCTGAGCATGCGGAATTTCAAGCGGTGTGGGAAGCTATTACATTTGCTCTTGACACTGGATGTGGGAAGGTAATTTTTGAAAAAGATGAAGAGCCGATAATTATAGATATTTATAATGGGGTGGAGCAACACTAGATTTTTGGACAATTTATGGATGATATTCAGTGATATTGCACATGACTCGAGGAATGAGATTTTCAGGTAGTTCCTCAAATGGAGAATATAAAGACTTACACGTTGGTCCGTAGATCTAAGAAAATTAATAATTTGGCAGTAAGACCCACCATCATTTTTACACAATATTTTGCAGTTTAATAAGGAGCAGTGTTAGTCCACATTCTCTTGCTATGCTTCTGGGTTTTCATTTTAGTTTAGATGTATCATAATATGTTTTCATGAAAAAACTATTGTAATATAATAATTAAACCCTAGCTAACAAAATAATTTATAATATTTCCCCTTCTGAAGCTACTAATAATTCATTTAATATGAATATTAGTGAGAAAATAAACTCATAATTAAAGCATTCGTATAACTCCTACTAATAATTCATTTAATATGAATATTAGTGAGAAAATAAACTCATAATTAAAGCATTCGTATAACTTCTCTTACCAACTAATCAAATTCTCTTCTTAGTGAGAAAATAAACTCATAATTAAAGCATTCGTATAACTTCTCTTACCAACTAATCAAATTCTCTTCATTAATTATGCACTAATTATTTACCGACTAATCTACTTCCATAACATTCCACTTGGATCTCAAGAGTCCCATAAAATTATGCTATATATGGATGCTCAAATGCATAAAAAACACTAAAAGAATTAAAAGAAAAAAATGGAGGAAGTGCGAATTTTGACGGTGGAGTCATTCCTTCTTTTGTAGTAACCAGGATATCTTGTAGTCAATAAGATTTCACAGATGATAATGAGAGAGAAGATTGTATTACTTTTCTTTGGAAAAATGAACAAATGTATGACCGATTTCATCTCTAATTTATGAAAAAATATCAATCTATTAGTTAAAAAAGTATACAAATTCGCGGAGAGAAAAATTAATATAAATGTCAATAAATTTATGACGATTAGGTGGCTAGGGGCTCTATTTGGGTCCTTGTTGTTGTTCTAAAAAAATTTGTGACGAGTGCGTTGTTCGATGGCCTTTGAATATTTTAGTCTCATATCATTACATAATATACATTTCGTGCAAAGCGCGTGTTACATACTAGTATATTTAAAATATGATAAATCATTAATACATTTCATATCAAATATACTAGACTATTAAATATATAATACTGATTATTTAATATAAAACTAATTAAATAACATTAAATATTAAAGAATATTTCATGTATATTTTAGGAATCTAATTAAAAAGTATTTAAAACTAAATATATTTAATATGAAATATATTAAATAACTAAAATAATTATTTAAACTATTTAATATTTAATATCTAATATTTTCTTAGTTAATTTTAAAATATTTCTTAAATTTAATATTTACAAATTTACTATATTTCTTACTAATGTTTAAATTAAAAAATTCTATATCAATATTAAGTTATAAAATATTTTTATATGTTTAAGATATGATAAATAATAAATATATTCAATATTTAAAACTAAATATAATATATTAAATATATTAAATGATTAAATATATTAAACATAAAAACGATTAAATAGTACTAGTACGTAACACGCGCTTTGCACGAAATGTATATTAAGTAATGATATGAGACTAAAATATTCGAAGACCATCGAACAGTGCACTCGTCACAAATTTTTTTAGAACAACAACGAGGACTCAAATAGAGCCCCTAGCCACCTATTCGCCACGAATTTATTGAAATTTATATTAATTTTTCTCTCCACGAATTTGCATACTATTATAACTAATAGATTGATATTTTTTCATAAATTGGAGATGAAATCGGTCATACATTTGTTCATTTTTCTAAAGAAAAGCAGTACAATCTTCTCTCTCAGTTATTATCTGTGAAATCTTATTGACTACAAGATATCCTGGTTACTACAAAAGAGGGAATTCCACCATCAAAATTCATACTTCCTCTATTTTTTTTCTTTTGATTCTTTTAGTGTTTTTATGCATTTGAGCATCCATATTTAGCATAATTTTATGCAACTCTTAAGATCCAAGCGGAATGTTTATGAAAGTAGATTAGTCGGTAAATAATTAGTGCATAATTAACGAAGAGAATTTGATTAGTTGGTAAGAGAAGTTATACGAATGCTTTAATTATGAGTTTATTTTCTCACTACGAAGAGAATTTGATTAGTTGGTAAGAGAAGTTATACGAATGCTTTAATTATGAGTTTATTTTCTCACTAATATTCATATTAAATGAATTATTAGTAGAAGTTATACGAATGCTTTAATTATGAGTTTATTTTCTCACTAATATTCATATTAAATGAATTATTAGTAGGTTCAGAAGGGGAAATATTATAAATTAATTTGTTAGCTAAGGTAACACTGCTCCTTATCAGACTGTAATATATTGCGTAAAAATGATGGTGGGTCTTCGAGCCATACCGCAAAATCATTAATTTTCTTAGTTCTTCGGACTAACTTGTGAGTCGTTATATTCTCCATTTGAGGAACTACCTAAAAATCTCATTTCTCGAGTCATGTGCAATATCACTAAATATCATCCATAAAGTGTCCAAAAATCTAGTGTTGCTCCACCTCATTATAAATATCTATAATTACTGCCTCTGCATCTTCTTAAAAAATTACCTTCTTACATCCAGTGTCAAAGAGCAAATGTAATAGCTTCCCACGCCGCTTGAAATTTCACATGCTCGGAATTATCTCGTATCCAAATATTATGATAAGTATATTGCAATTCTTAGTAAAATATGCTATTTCTAGGTTACACCAAGATGTTAACATTTATATTAGTATTCCAGTTGTAATTTATATTAGACTACACCAAGAGTTTTAACATTTATATGCTATTATAATTTATTTTTATATGTTGGAAAGTTTTTTTCATTGAGCAGATCAATTTCAACCATTTGTTGCAATACTCCAGTTCCGAATGCAACTTAGCAAAATATCTACCAATCTGATGATATGTGCAACATCGT